CGCCCATCAATACCCTTTACTGCTCTCAGATGATTTATTAGCAAAATTGAATGGTGCTGAATGTTTCGCAAGGCTGGATCTCTGATGCACACCTGCAGATAGAGGTACATGAAGCTTCACGAGAATTACTCACCATCAACACGCATCGAGGCTTGTACCAGTATCACCGTCTCCCGTTTGGAGTCAAGTCTGCACCAGCCATATTCCAGCAGATCATGGACACAATGCTGACAGATGTGGATGGAGCAGCCGCATACTTGGACGACATCATTGTTGTCGGAGGCAGTGTTGATGACCTATTCGAGAAGTCGGATCGAGTTCTTGGCCGTGCTAAGAAATATGGATTCAGACTCCGACCTAAGATGTATACCTTCTTTATGGACTCCATTACGTCTCTCGGCTTTATAATCTACAGGAACGGCAGACGTCCAAACCCAGAGAACATTGAGGCAATCAGGAAGATGCCGCCGCCCAAAGATGTTGCAACGCTATGGTCCTTCCTAGGACTCATAAGCCATTACAGCCTGTTCCTACCACACATGCATCACTTGCGTAGTCCACTCAATGACCTGCTGATCGAGGATAAATGCTGGAACTGGTCCGAAGAATGCCAGAGCTCATTTGATGAGGTAAAAAGGCTACTATGTTCTGACCTTCTGCTAACACATTGCGATTTTACTTTGGAGATTGTGGTGGCCGCAGACGCCTCGAAATGTGGCATTGGTGCGGTCATAGCCCACAAGTTCGCAGATGGTTCAGAAAAGCGAATTGCATATGCAGCCCGGTCGCTGTCAGCTGCAGAGCGAAATTATGGACAGATAGAGAAAGAAGCCTTAGCGATAGTCTTCGCTGTAAAGAAATTTCACAAAATGCTGTATGTAAAGAAGTTTACACTTCTTACTAACCATAATCCGCGATTGGCACTTCCGGAACAAAGTCGGGCATCCCTGTCTATATGGCAAACAGGTTGCAGCGGTGGGCTACTACAATACTCGGCTACGACTTAACGGTGGAGCATATTTCTACAAAGGACATTGATCAAGCTGGCTATTGGAAAGCCAACATCGCCAGCAAGAAGAATCTATCATTGCAGCGATCTCTCTGGAGTCGGAAGTGAATCAGGTGTTGTTGGAAACGCTCAGAGAGCTTCCGGTAACTTTTGAGATGATATATGATGCATCAATGCGGGATCCTGTCCTACAACAAGCGGTCAGATTTCATACTACACAGTGGCCGAAGGACGACCTAAATGGGGAATTGCGAAGCCTGTCCCGGAGAAAAGACGGATTATCCATCGTGAATGGCTGTTTACTTTTGGCGGAAATTGTTATTCCTAGTGAGCTTCGCCAAAGAATTCTACGGCATTTCATGCAGCCATTTCCCTTCAGAAATTTTAAGAGAGCAAGAACGAACAGCATTTTTACGGGATAACCTGAATACAGGTTATTTGATATCCTCTCATTTAGCCGCTTACAGACAATTCGTGGAAAGAGTAAAAGAATGCTATTGAAAAAGGGGTCAATAAGAAAATCAATAAAACACTGAGAAAATCAAGGTCATTGCCTGCGTCTTACCAGGGCAAGGCAAGACTGGCCACAAGGTCTACCTGTTTGCAAAGGTTTGGTTTCATTCGCCGAATGGCAGAGGCTTCAGCGAAACGAAGCAAGCTCGCATTGTTTTGTCTGCTGATAACCTTGAATGCGTCACGTGGGTTTTCGCACAAGGTACAATAGAGCAGATGCTAAGCGATGGAGCTAGCATGGTTTAGGTCTACTGTTTGCCAGGTTCCGTGGAACATGTTCAATGATCCTTATCTCGGTTCGGCCAATGTACATGCTACCGCAAGTACAGGTGAATTGATAAGCACATAAGGGCGGTAACCTGAGAGTGAGGACCTATCCAAGTTGGATTCATGGAACAGCTTCTTGGTTTGATGTTATTGATGCTGTTCGTTCTTGCTCTCTTAAAATTCTAGGACAGTTTCATCGTGGACATCCTGGAATTAACAGAATGAAAATGATTGCGCTGAAGTATGTTTACTGGCCGAATATTGACTATGAGCTAGAACAGCTAGAGATATCGTGTCCGAAACGTACGCTTGTAAGCAAGACGCCCAGGAAAGCGGAATTATCTTCTTGGCCGTTGTCAACGAAACCGTGGGAGCGAGTACACGCGGATTTCTCATCGTTGTTGTTTCCTTCAGTAAGTGACCGGAAGTGTTCTACATGGAACGCATAACAAGTAGCGCAACTATTGGCTTACTGAAAAGACTTTTCGCCCAGCATGGAATACCAAAGACCCTGGTTACTGACAATGGCCCTCAGTTCGCCGAATACTGTACGCAAAACGGTATCACACACCTACACTCTCCGCCGTTCCACCCGCAGTACAATGGGCAAGCTGAGCGCTTGTTGGTACCTTTAAACGGACGTTGCTGAAAATCAGGGGAGAATGGACTACCCAAGAGATTTTGGATGTTTCCTTCTACTGTACAGATCAACTCCGAACCTCCAGGTGCCAAATCAGCTGTCCCCAGCAGAAGCGCTTATGGGCAGAAAACTCCGTACTCTGAATTCCTTGCTGCTTCCAGAGCGTATCGCTTCGCAAGAGGAATGTGAGAACGGATAATTACTTCCATCAGCAGCACAGGACGCAAGTACGTCTATTTCACCCAGGGCAGAGTGTTTTAGTCCGAGACTATCGCTCTGGAAGATCACAGTGGACCACAGGCTCGATTGACTGCAGACTTGGACAAGTGCTGTATAAAGTTCGAGTGGGTTCTATGATTTGGACCAGATACGCAAACCAACTGCAACCTACCAGTGAACGAAAGCGTTCACTGGATATTCTGCTGGACAATTTCGACATACACCCTAGAACTCAGGAGCTACCTAATAAGCCTTGCCCTGTGACCACAAAAGGAACGAGCTTGCAACCACGACGATGGACTGATCGGATAAGGAGGTTCGTGGTCAGAATGCAGCTGGATCCCAGGAGGAAATCGTACGTCACTTTTCGCGAGGGTGTTACCGGAGCCGTCCATAGCAGCCATCGAAGCCAGCTCTCTCTCTCTGTCTGAAGCAGCCCGGAGAAGATTGGTTGTATGCCGCCTGTAGCCGATTGGCTAGCCAATGAGAGTAAGCCAATGGCATCGTTTTACCTTGAAGTGGACCAATCAGAATGACCTGCCTTGAAGCCCTCCAGTAAGCACACTACTTGATCAACCAACAAGCGAGTTTTTGCGCATCCAGTAGTTGCTATAGTCAAGAACTTTCAATTAGGTCTTTTCTCTCATGAACTATTTATTTCGACCCAATATTTTGGCTGTACATTCTCTTCCGGGTGCTCCATAGAAGTTCTGCCAAAGACCTTTGTCTTTTGATTTGGAAGTGCCTGTATCGTGACCAGAGTGGCGGCATCGGTTATCCGTACTGTCAGCGGAACCACAACAAGTGCTCTTAACAGACATGCTGAAGGCGATTTACCCAGGTGGAAATCAGCGAACAGCACCATGTGTGTGATTCAGCCACTGACTTTCAGTATATTTCCCAACCAACCAGATCAGAAGATATCAAAGATGAGTAAGAAGTTAAGGTATCAGCAGTGCGCTGGTACGCAGTACCGAAGCTTCGCTGCCGCGCAATCACCAACGGTGGCGCGTGGGCTAAGGATACTGCGAGGGTCACTCAGTCTCTATGCAGGCTCGAACCTGCGCCTTCGGATTACAAGGCAGGCTTGTGATCCAGAAGGCTGCGGGCTGGCTATCAAAGATGAATTCTTTAGGAGACCTCATCAACCGTGTAATATGGGTATTATCGTTTTTGCTGGCGACATGAATTTCCAGGTAGATTTTTTGGTTTGTAATCGACGTTTGCGAAATCATTATTGAGTCGATACTTGCCAAATGAATATTGGCTATCGATTTCTTCGACTACATGCTAAACAACAAATGATTTCCAACACAAACCCTGGCATCGCGTTAGCTGACGATCATCGAATTTAGTAATGATCAGACCTCAAACTAACCATATTGCTATCAACTACATGTGTCGCACATGAGTGTCTTTTAAACATGAGCGGATCGTCCACATAGTTAGATACTCTGTATGCCATCTGGTAGCTTACTTTGCCACGGTGTATACCCGCGTTGCACCTATTATTGTGAGACTACGAGGCGGGCAGTCGGCAATTTGACAGGAGGGCATGAATGAATTGACTGAGAGGCTTTGTAAGCGGGTACCTGCTATCTTATTTGATGGAGGTATCGAGATGAGCCACTTCGGTTGTTGCAGACCTTATCTGCTGTGACGTATTCGCTGAGTCCATGTGGTTGTTAACACTTAAGTTTGATTAGTTTTTGATACTTTCTCCATAACTCTTTTTCACCCTACCTGTGTTTTCTCAAACATTGTTACTTATTGCTATTCTTGTGACACAGATCGGTAACTGGATCTACTGCACTTCTATGCCCGATCACAGTTGCTTGACTGAACTGGATTGAACCTAGAAGAATGATCACTATTTTTGTGCACGCCACTGCGTGGCTGGAACCGAAATAAGCCTGATTTAATCGCGTTGTCTTTTGTTAACTTTGACGTGGATTCATTGAGCACTTCGGGGCCCATCAAACATCGCCTCGTGATCCGCACTCGGGCTTGAGCAACTTTCCGGCAATCTATGGCATAAAGTAGCTACGCGCTTTGTAGCATTCAGTTCAATGGGATTGGTAAATACCATCTGTATTTTTACAGAAGTATCCTTGCTATTGCTTATGTGCGGTCCCAGGGAATGCTTTGCGTTCTCTTACCTTCGTCACTCACTAGCTGTTGTAAGGTCGGCTTCTGATTCAGTGGTTATCCGGACGCGTTGCTCTTGGCCGGTCGTTGTTTCTATCAGGATTACCGCTGACGGAATAACTTTTCTTTCGCGTTTTAATTTATCGAGATAACTCACTTAATGGGTTAATATTCCTTCAGACTATGTTGCTCTCTCTGTTTCAGCTTTCGTCCAACGTATTCTCAGTTAAACTTCCCGTGGCCTCTGAGAGCACAACATTAACTCAACCCAAATACAGTTGTAAGGTATCAAGTTTGCTTTATTTTAATAAAGTGCTATTCATTGTTAATTTCGTTTTATGGTTTCCACTGCGCACGAAGTAATCTTTTGGGCTGATTCTGAATATCCCTATCATCGACCTATCACGCTTAGTTATCTTTTGGGCATGAGGGGAGATTTTTCAAATAATCGTTTCCTGATTTTCATCTCACTTCATTGGTAATCCCTCATTTACTGCCGTTTCCCAAATTATCGCTGATGTTAGCCAACTGAATCGACGACAACTCTCACGCTATTTTGCCGACGAGATATTTAGGTGCACACAATGTTACTGGGCTGCTGTCGTACGAGATCAGACCACGCACCTTAGTGAACCGAATGTGAACAAGTCAGCTTATTAAACTCTTAGTACTAATCTAGAAAGTGAATGAAATACGCGTTCGTGGTGGCCCGAAACTGCGCATTCAATTTCGTTTGAGCCATATTACCAGCAAGTATCCATGTTGTGGTGTTATGCTTATAGCGTGGTGCGATGGTTTTTGTACAAGTGACCAATTAAATGGCACTTTCCAAATGCATTCAGTGCCACCCGTATCAATGATTAGGGGTCACACTAACTCAGTCTCACAATCCAATCCTCTCCGGAGGTTAGGGAAAGGTCGATGGCCCTCTTCCCGTAAAACCTAGCCATGGGAGACAACAGGTCTACGGGTTATAAGCTCACAGCTCGATTGACGCCGCGCATTGTCTGACGATGGGAGGGCACCTTCCGATACTCAATGATTTGCTACCGCCCGCTTCAAGCCAGGGGGCCCCTGGTCACATTGGTGCAAAGCCGCCAACTCTCACTTGCGTCCGGTCCGTAACATAATACGGCCTGTGTGTGACAGGCCTCAAGCAGATCCCAATAGGTCTGTGCAATCACACTTTCGAGCTGAACTTGCTCCCCACTGCTTTTTGGGTCAGGCTATTGAGCCAAAGGCTCCTGATGGAGTCCCTCTCAACCACGTCGACAATACTCCCTCATCTTCTTGGTTTTCTCTTCCCTCCTTCCGTCTATTGAGCAAGAGACTGCCGTTAACCTCGTAGCTGCTGCCATCGATACATGTAGCTCTTCCAATAAACCTGATTTCATTTCACATTGGCTCTCTTGACGTCCGTACTTTGGGTCAGATCGGTCAACAAGCAGCACTGGCTCTCTTGGTGTTGATGTGTGCTGTGTCTCCGAAACACGCTTACCAGATAACGGCGTCGTGACAACCTTCCTCTGAATCTGGCGACGATGGTTACACTCTTCGCGTCTCTCGCGATACTGAGTCAATGGCTCAGCAAACATGCTGAAAGCAGTCTGCTCGACTGGATACTGATGAACAACCACATCTGTACGGTTCGACTTTGAACCTACAGCTGCAGATGGCGCACATCAGTCCAAGACACTCGGTCAATCTGGAGCACGTGCCTGAAAGTGGACCACGCTCTAGTGCGAGCACGCTTGGTGCTAACTCTTCCCGCTTCAAAGAAGCGCCTTTATTCTAACCTTAATTGTAAATTGAACTCGCAGTTTGCAGTTCAACAAAATCATGATAAACTGACCCCCTAGTTGCCAGTGATGGATGAGGTTGGTGGTCCGAACGCTGACTAAAATCGTCTCAAATAGGCGATGAAGAATGCCAGTGACGCCCGCTGTGCACTCAAATTGAGACGCAGCTGTGAATGGATCTCTGGGGCATCGATCAGCTTGATCGAAGTACGGAAACAGGTTCCGATGGGCACTGAGTTTCAGCGTGTCCGTAACTCCCTGAAACGACGTCTGATAAGGAGTCTTCGAATCGACCGGGAACGTTGGTGGATCGCAAACGTTCGTGAGATGGAGAAAACCAGTGCTATTGGGAACAGCCGAGTGCTGTTCCACCTCCTGTGTTACTGTGTGGATCAGAGACCTGGCCAGTTCGCATCGAAGACGTTAAACGCTTGGCAGTGTTTGACCACCGGTGCTCGCAAAGTATTACTCGCTTCTGGTGGGAACACCGGGTGAGCAATGATGAGGTCCATCTGATGGTTTTTGGCAAGAAACCTTGTGGTGCCTCGTTTGAGTGTGCACTGAATCTTAATCGCTTACGTTGGCCAGACCATATCCTCTGTATACCTGTTGATTAGCTTCTTTGACGTGCACTGTACACCGTGGCCGCACCAAGTTGGATGAAACCGCGAGATGGCCAGTCCATAACGTAGCATAGAGGCATGACGAAATTGACTGAGAGACTTGGTCAGGCGGGTACTTGCCGTCTTCTTGGATGGAGACCTCGGGATGGTTGGAGGCCGTATCAAACATGGTGCAGTCAGTGGCGTTCCTGCATTCGGTTTCTTGCATCTAGTTGTTAATTTTTGTTCCATTTTGATTAGTTTAATGCACCTCCATCTTTATACAATTTTCTTTACATTTTGTTTGTATTCAATCCCACTATATTGCCATTGTTGTTCTTACGATGTGAGTCATAGCAGCTGGATCCACCTCACTTCGGTGCTCGGCTCATGGCAGGTCAGCATAACGGAACGCTTATATCTCGCCAAAATTTGGAATATTCTGGCCGGTCGGTAACATACGGGATGCAATGACATTTGCAGAATAGTTGCCCGACCTCAGCGGTAACGTGTAGTGGTACTTCAGACAGCTAATGCCGTCCTCACTGAATATTCGTCCCGGTGTTCGCACCAATGCACTAGATTTACAAAGTGTACATACCATCATTTTATTTAGGTACATGCTGCCAATTTTCGAAAGTTTGAATGAACCTGGGTGTGTAGCGTGTTTCTGTACAAGTATCTGAGGCTATCATATCGATATAATACAAAAATCATGTTTCTCGGAAACAGATCTGCACATACCAGGATTGCCAGTATTTTGAATCAGACTAATCTTCAACTTACGTTGTTCATTTGTGGTCACTAACTGTGAATCGGATATTGCGCTGAGAAGAAGACGCTTGTGTGAATTCGTGCTCAAAGTGGCTGGCCATTGCTTGACGCACTCCTGCTTCGTGGTTTCCGAAACCGGGTCGTTCGGATATTTCGCGTCCTTGAATCCGTAGATTGGGCGATCATGACTGACAACAACAACTGCACAATGTCTCGTTCGGGCGATCCGCATCAACTCCGTGTTGACGACAACGAATCTGGGGCGGACTTGAAAGAAACGGAAATCAAACACTACTACGTGATAACGACACGAATGCGCGACCGCCAACCATGTGGATAACAAACATATTTGAGTCCATTGCGAAATTGTTCATCAACCACTAGATAGTGTGGTGCACCATCATAATCATCATTAAATGTTAGTTGAAGGTGAGAAACACACTTCAACCAAGGTGCTGCAATACAAAAAATAAAAGATAGAAAAATGCGAAACAATACGTTACATTAAGCCGGTTAGTAGTTTTAAGGATCACAAGCCTGTCTTGTAATCCGAAGGCGCGGGTTCGAGCCTGCGTAGGGACTGGGGGACCTTCGCAATATCCTTAGCCCATCTGCGACTGATGGTGGTTGCGTGCCAGCGAAGCGTAGACACTGCGTACCGGCGTACTGCTGATGCCTTTTTCTGTTTTATAAAAACAAAATTATATGATGCTTACGCATCAGGTGTGGGAACGTGGTTGGAGGGGGAGGATAAGCGGGAGGGGAGGGGCGAAGAAACACATCACACGCCACTGAGGCCGGCTTTTCACAATGTCAGCAAGTGTATCCAACGATACGTGCTCATTATTCTTAGGATCCCAGCCTGGCAGTCGGGAAACACAAGTGACACCAAGTTCAAAGTGAAGAAATTCATACCTCTTGACCAAGTCATCGCCTGGCTGGCTTGCCCAACTACATCCTCGTGCTGCTAATGGAGTGGTTCGGGATTATTACGTTCCTGACGATTGCTCAGCGGTAGTGTCCCAGAACGTGGTGGATTTCGCTTGTCAAGCCTTCTTCCTATAAAAGCCACGTACCCATTTAACAACACTGGTGTAGTGAATGTGACTTGCCACCAACTAAAACCACTAGCCCTTTAATTCACTGCGATCGAGCATAGTATTTCAGCACCCTCTTGATGAAACCTCGAAGAGGATTGGGCCCCTGTCTGGTTACCGATCAAACGAAAGGCATGTGAACTGAGCAGTCAGCCACCGGCTCCTAATAGGCGCGATTCCCTGAATTCGACCCGCTGCTTTGCGGTTGGGCTGTTTATCCAAAGGCTCGGGGTGGGGTTCCCTAATCCAACTCCCCCTCGGGCTCTGACAAAAAAAACCACAGATTGTTCTACGATGTGTTCATCTGCTACTGTTTCTGGTTTTTCCATCTACGCGACCTCAACACACGTCAATTGTTCATTCGTTAACAATCTTTGTTATCGGTTACCTGGTTCCTGCTGGTCTGCTTGCTATTCCGGATGCACAGCGAACCTTAGAGTTCAACCTGTGGCTTTCCTTCGACCCCGATGCTCGTTCCGTCTGGTGTGTTTCAGCGTACGGACACTCACGCAGACTAGACTGCAAGCCGGTCTAGCGCTCATCCTAGTCCCTCGATATTGACGTATCCTTCGTTTTCGAAACCCTATTGCAGGATCCCAGCACTGCGCTTACGCTAACATTTTCCACCGGCCATAAAGCCAGATAACATTTGCGTCTTTCTGGAGACCAAGAAGTAAATCAGCCCATCACCGAAGGGATCACAAGCCTGCCTTATAATTCGAAGGCATGGGTTCGAGCCTACGTAGGGGACCCGGCGACCCTCGCAGTATCCTTACCCCACGCGCGACTGGTGGTAGTTACCTGGCAGAAAAGCGTCGGCACTACGTACCAGCGTACTGTGGATGTCTTTTTTCAGCGAATTTGACTTAGGTATAACCCCAAGTGGCAAAACCGAGGCGGTACTACTAGACTGGTTCCCGATTAACATCCGACTTTGTGCGGTTCGGGGTTCATGTGAAATCAGCAGGCGGCGCGATGAGAAACGCAAGTTGCTTGTTATCTCCGCGTACACTCCAAATGATTGCAGTCGTGACTCGATCAAGGACGACTATCATCGGGAGCTTCGTCAGCTCTTCAGTAACGCTAAAAATCGGATGTCTTCCTTTCTGGGGATTTCAATGCACGGGATAGCCACCTCGGTGTTCACCACGCGCTCGATGAGGATCGCTCAGATAACGGAGAGTGACTTCTCACAGCCACCTGTTTCTCTCGAGCACCAACTTCAGGCATACGAAGAAACGTTCCGCAGCTTGGCATCTCCCTTCGCCAATACAAGCGTGGTCTCAAACTAATCACATTGCAGTCAACCGCAGGTGGCGTGGCAGTGTATGGGAATGTAGGTCTTTTTGGTCCACTTACATTGACTCAGCTCTTGTGCTGATCTGCGCGAAAATCTGCATGTGTTTTATGAGACCCAAAAATGAAGCACCGCAAGATTGCTGCGAACAGATTAACTGATTCCTCGGTTCAGGCGAACTATCAGTGTTCATTGGCAGACACACCCAGTTGCAATCCACCAAAAGACATTGGGCAACACTGGACTTGTATACAGTAGGCGATGATCGCTTCCGGACAATCAAGCTGCAGTTTAGCTCAACGCCTCTTAGAGGGTTGAATCTCCGCTCACTCTCTGGGGTTGTTCGACCGCCGCAGTGTTATCCTGGCAGAATCAGATTGCAACGAGCGGCGCCCCTCTGGCAACCGGCTGTTCAAGTAAAGCTTGCGCAAGGATTGCGAGGCTTGGTAGTTCGAGCGTGCTTCCCTGACCGCTGCAACACTCGCAAGCTTTTTCAGTGCATTCGGTTCACTGGCCTCAGGAAGCCTTGTGTCTGTGAGGTTATTTGGGTGACAGATAGATCTTCGATCAACAACCAGCAGAGGCGTGTGGACTTCTGGGTCGAGCACTTTCATTCGCAATTCAACTAGCCTCAACCGTCCATCCGTGCACGCAGTACACCTTGCTGCCTACTCTGGCTCGTCCACTGGATCTCAGCGAAGCGGAACTCTGCCTCGAAAGTCGACACTTTAAACGATTTAAGGCTGCCCGCTCAGACGAACTTTCTCCGAAACTGTTCAGTTACGGCGGCCTGGCGATCATCAACTAGCTGATCACGTTCGCAGAAACGTGGCGCAAAAAAAGTACCTTCCTCTTGGGGTGATTCAGTTATTGTCCCGATTTTTATAAAAAGCGCTCTCACGTCTTGTGTCAATCATCGAGGGAGTGGTCTCATTTCGGTTACCCCCAGGTAATTGGCATCCACTCTGCTTCGTAGACTATCCCCAATAAATAAATAAATCTACCATGAATAACAAGCTGTATTCCGTCGCGGCCATGGATGCGTGCATCAAATCTTCACGCTCTGTCAACACCTCGAACATTGCCACATGTACCACACGTCGACTATCGCCGCATTCCTAGACATACTGGCTGCACTTGACACAGTTAATCGATTTCATTCATGGCGTTCCCTTCTAAAGAAAGCGGTCAGAAAGGCATACTGCCGTCCTACGCGCACTTTACCTACTTAACTCTGGTAGATTGATGGTCTACATCAAGCTTTCCTTGCCCTTCCCTGTCAATAGTGGTGTGTGACAGGGCTGACCTATGTCCCCGTTCCTCATCAAGTTCACAATCGAAGACGCCCTGTCGAGACGTCTAGGTTTAAAAAATTTGGTTTAGAGCTCCTACCGACTGAGCGCACCACCAACTTAGTTTATGTTGATGATATCGCTTTACTTGGTGATGATCCACAGTTCATGCAACTCATTCTGAGTCTTAAAGCATTCGTCCCAGCTCATTCTGAATCGTTTGGCGGTTGGAGCATCTAGGTATAGCAAGAGCTTCGCCCCCTCGAAATCTATAGGGTTGCTTCAGAATTGGCCCACCCCCCCTCCGGTGCTCACTTTACAAGATGCACAACTTAAACGGGTAGCTAGTTTCGTCCACATTGGGAGCTGTTTCTTCTGGCGGCAATATCAGCAGGGATGTTTCTATTCGCATCGCTAAAGCCTGATCATTATTTATCAATCTGAAGCACTTGTGGCGTCATCGTGAACTATCCACTTCGATAAATGACCGCGTTTACAGTGCCTCAATGTTGTAGTGTGGAAGCGAGTCCCGGCCAATTCGCGTGGAGAATACGCTTTAGACAGCGGTTGTTTTTTTGGAGGATCCCTCGTGTGTGGTGGCAACACCGACTTCACAGTGATGACGTTAGACCTCGCGTCCTGGGCAATGCGAGCATTCCTTTCAACAAGCTGATTTTGTTGTGATAGTTGACATGGCTCGATCACGTCCTACGCATGGCGCCTGGGCGGTTTTCGCGCCGTGCTCTATTCGCCCGTTCAGAATTGGACTGAAGGCGACCGCGTGGTGGTCATTATTCCACATGGCGACAGCACATGAAACCGCTGACTTCACGTTTGATCGCCGTTGGACCCGTAGGTCTTCCTGGTCGGGGACTGCAGCATGAGGAGTACCAGTGGTTTAACACGCTCGAAGACATGGACCGAAACCGGAATCAGTGCAGAGGTTGTGTGCAGAATTACATTGATTCACAGGTTTAAAACCTCGAACACAAAAATGACAAAAAATGAAAAACGGCGTCTGAAAAATTAAAATGGGTTGTCCTTTTTTGTTCTCATGGTTTTTTGATTGCTCTGTGTCCACTTCTTGTTCCATTCATGATGCTACTTCACCGCAGTTGTGATAAGCCAACTTACACTTAAACTAGATCATTTTAAGTTGGATCAATACCATTCCCCTTTATTTATTTGGTTTGTTCTGCCTACCTGGATAATCTATTAACTAGCCACGTCGCTTACGCTAATTGTGGTTATCTTCCTTAACTTTATTGCCTTTGTGGCATTTTTCAGTAACTTCCGCACATTTTGCACTTATCGCGGATTTATTGCTAACCAACTTACTTTATATGCTAATTTAGCGTAGAGTTATGTCGGCAAAACCGTGTGCTTTAACAGATATATTTCATTTGCTAATATCATTTCAAATGATTGGCTATTGTTGGACATCCCCTGTGTGGCTGCGCTTGATGTGCATGTTGACAAGGTGCCTGCCTGTCTATTACCCACTACCTCGTCTACACTGGCTCCAGGAGACAGTTGGTCGTTGCTGGAGGAAACGGGTGTACGGTCCTTGTGGCCGTGTTAGGATCAAAGAATAGTTCCATGCACTCAATGTGGAGCGGACTACGGTCCAGCCACCACCTTGTGAGCGCTTAATTCCCCAACTATAGTGTGCTTGTGTTTGCCTGTGAAAGAGTGTGGGCCGCCTCCATTGTTGAAACGAGGCTCCCATCCATCTGCCTCCCGGTCTTATTCCTTCGGGTTTACACTGGATATGGGGTGTGTGGTTGGAGCTGTGGGTGGTGCAGCGCAAGCCACCCATGGTCCCTCTGTAGACACAGTGACAGGCAAATCCGAAACCGGATGCTGCCAACAATATATCTATATAGTTACACCCCCGGCGCGAAAACAACGCACTTTTCGGGAGTGGTGCTGGCATGCGCGGCATCTGGCCCTACCATCGGAGTTTGGTGTGTGATATAAAGGTGACGATTAGTTCACCCTCTTTTTCTGCAACAAATACACGGCGCCAAACATGCTGATTGCTCACGCGGTGTTCCCGCCAGACGTGGACTTAGCTTCGAGTATAACTAGCCACATGTCTGTCGTAGTGTGGCGTAAAACGCTAACCGCATTAGAGCAGCGGTTCTCTGGGGAACAAGGGTTGCGGTGTGGCAACGCCGTCGTTTAACGATCTGATATCACTTGCGCCAATATTCAAATGATGTGACAATCATTCATCACTAAATAAGATGCTTTCCAATACCTCTGTCGCCACCGAAGATGTGCTTTTTATCAACTTTGAGACATGTTTACTCACATCGGCCCACCACTACCAATTCTTGCGATGGTTCGATTCTCGCTGCACCCTGTCACCCTTGTTCCAACGTCTGTACATGTGGCTTAGTTTGTAACTAACGCAGCGGTCCTGGAGTACCTTATCCGACTGTTTATTTTGGGCATATAGGACTTAATACCGGTCGGCTCTGCTCTGGATTATTTACTTGTGAGTTATGTCGTTCTTCGACGTATTCAGCCGGTCAGTTGCACCTCGTGAGTTTAGCTGAGGCCAAAATGAAGAGCAGGATTAGACCCCAGATTCCTGTAGATTTTCTAGTGAGGAAGCTCTGTGAGAAAGGAAATGAGTGCCGTCCTCCACTCAATCCAATTTGATTCCGCGTTGCTGATTTGTATTGTGGACAGAAATCCAACCGAAATCGATGCACTCGGATTAAGTACACCGAAATGACTGTACTGAGGATGCACGTGTAACTGCCTTGATTTTGCATTTTAACGTTGACCATCTAAGGCAGCCTTGAATATGCTATCTCGGTTCATCTATTTACTTTCAAACTCACCCACCGATCCTGTCTGCTTCCGTTTTAGCACCAATGTTTTCCGATTCTATATGTATATCACCTTCATTTTTCGGTTATGCCGTGTTCGCCAGTCTTTCTCCATGGGATCTCAACCGGATAGGCCCGTTATGCTTGGTCCTCGCTGAGTAATTTGTTTGTCTCAAGGGTGCTCCAGGCGGCCCTCAGAGCGCCTTTGCAAGCAGCATGATCTGTCCATAGAACCTGTCGAAGCGTGTCGTGTAATAATCAGAAGTGAATGTACACATTTACTTACACGACGCCCATTCGAGCTCGTGATATGGGCTTCGTACTAACTGCGTCAACATATTACTACGATCTCGAAAAGTGGAATTTTTGCGCTTTATGTAAAAGGCTATTGCGGAATTATTTAAACAATATTATTATTTAAAATCCACGGAAGTATTCTGGAGTACTACAGTGTTACAGTTGTTGAGTCATCTCCAGATCCAGTGTAATTCTGAAAGGCGAAATCATACTTGTGAAGCGTACTCCGTCATTTCGAAGTCTGCTGTGGATGACAGCCGCTTGTTTTCATAGGGTGCCCCTAAGTAACTGCAAATAACCGATTACAATAACTAGAAATACCGGCAGTTCAGGTTGGCTATTGAGAAGCCGATCCGCTCATTGAGCTGAGCAATTTGGCTGCGGACATTTCACTACCGATCGACAAGGTATCTTTAGTGCGCAGTAGTAACGTTCGTTAGCAAATGCGGAATCTCAGGTGAATCCGGATTTTACTTTCAACGTTATATACAAGTGCTCGCGATCCGCTGCGGTTTGTGGAGCGCTTGAATCTTGATAGTGAAATAAAGCATAAAAACAGTGGGAGCTCAGCGATATAATCAATCTTCCGCGTAAGGGCCGGCTGAAGTAGCGGCTATCGAAACAGCTCACTTGATCGAGAGTTCTCACCGCGGGACGTTTCGGAGTAGTTTCCTGGTGCTACTGAAGCCTAGATCTAAAAGTCTGAACCATCTACCAGTCGAAAGTACGCACTAGGTGGGTGCACACATGGACATGAGCTAAGACCTTGATGTCTCCAACGGCATGTGGGATGTGCGCGAACATCGAAGTAAGCAGCCGACAAAAACGCTTGTGTGTCCGATAAAAGTATGCGTGCACGACGTCCAACCGAATAGAAACCATTCGGTTTCATATGTTAAATGCAAAGACAGCATTGTGTGGTTTGTAGTGGCCGTTGCACGTTAGTTACTAGCATACACGTAGTCCGATGCTGATGTAGTCGGATGGTTTCTCCCACTTCCCATTGCTTATAGGCTGCATAGCTGTACCAGTCTTGAGCTTTGAGCTAGTGTATCCATAATAAGAGACGCGTGGTAACGATCAGGCCAGTTTGTTCGCTCAATAAATAGAACTGTGCAATTTGAGTTGGTTCGGATAAGTGCGAAGTATGCTCACCCACCGGTGCTGAGGAAGGTGTTGTTTTATTTATCCTGTTCAAGGTGGCATAAGCCAATAAAAGAAGCAGTCGTCGAGTTGGCAACAAGGACCATGAACGCTCTCTGTCATTGGATTCGAGCTATGGCCCAAAGGACCTATCGTTGTCTTAACTGGAAATCTTACGCGGCATAGCTGGTAATCGGTGTCGTTCCTGCCCCACTCTCTCAGATAAATTACCTATTTCAAGTGTGTATTGCACCGAAAGGACGGGGTGTCTGCGTTGTAACCTAAAGGTAACCGGCACGAATCCGCGTAGGTGTGGGCGACTGGCGGTGGTCGCGTCCAGCGAAGCGTTGGTACGGTGTGCCTGCGTACTGCTGATACCTTTTTCCTGTGTAAGCTCCCACCTCATCTCTCTTAATGCTTATAGGGTCGTTCTTTTTAAGTTGGCAGCACAATTTATCGGTGTACTACCAACGTGTGACAAATGAGTACGTGCGTCCGCAGTTGATGAGTTGAAATGCTTTCGAAATTCAATACTTTGCCTAGCTTAAGTCCAGTCCGTAAGTAGTAGTTGATTTCTTGTATATCAAGCGCCGCCGCCTGTGGCGATGGATTACCTCAGGGGGCGGAAGTCTGCCGATAGAGCACATTCTGAGCATACAAAGAGTTGCTGAGTTTTGGGTTTGAGTTAAGTTGGTTGCCAACCTACCCATACGTGAAGACGAAACACACTGGTTCACTATAGTCATGGGGCATTCGTACCGCGGCACTGCGCATGGCAGCTGCTCTGAATACAGTTGAATTAAACTTCAAATGAACAAAGTGCATGTACTGAATGTATACCTATAAGAGCACTATCCAAGTGTAACGCATGCATGTGAGCGCGCGTGACCTCTGTAAATGGAATTCAGTAGGCCAGATTACTGCTCCGTGAATATGTAACAATGAAGACGTACAGTGGGAACGAAGCACTGATCGATCAGTAGCAAGCGATCAGTCAAATGAATTCTTATTGGCGTATGCGGGATGATGCACTGAGGAGGCCTATGGTCTGCATCAAAGTGAAACGCTCCTGAACTATTTCATGTTGGAATAAATCGCTATCGCCGCCAGTGTGAACTAGCTTGTCTTATTTTTCCAGGTCTAGTGCTCTTCAAAGTATGACACATGGTGAGAAAGATGAACGTGCAGCTTAGTTACCTAGTGGGTGAATGCTTACTACCTAAGTCGTTGGCGAGTTGCGTGACAAGATCAAACAATCATGGAGACTAAAACCTCATGCGCGGATTCATTCACGCCGAAAGGTACCTTTTTGAGTTCGTCACAATGAGCCGACAATTCAGATAATTTAACTGTCAATCCTGAAAAGCGCCAAACGACCGTTTCGCCCCATTCGGGCTCCTCAGTCATACACATCCTTCGGTCCTCTTCCGAGGCTTAGTGGCATAAGCTGCGGGATAGTTGGTGCAAGCAACTAGCAGTCGTGGGCTCAATCTTCGGAAGGGGACCGAATAATGCGCACCACTGACGAGCCCCAATAGGGCGAAACGGCCATCTGGTAGTTTTCGGATTGGTAGTTGAGTTATCTAAATTGTCGGCTGATTGCGACGAACTCAAAAATCTCGCCAAAATCCTTATACTCATAAAAAGGCATATGAACGGGGATTTCAGGCTAACGCTTGCTCCGTCTGATTCAACCACCCTGTTAGGAACTCGGTTGATGCAGCATATTAGTCACCAGCTTACCAGAATCCTAGCATGCATATGAGCGGCTCTGAGAGACATAAGTAGCCCTGCACACAACAAAGCACATTCGTTGCAATTCAACAAATAGAATGACTAGCCAACCACTTTAAGTAGTACCTTGGTACATCGGTATAACGTGTATATGACCTGCTCGCTAACGTGACTCCAGAGAATGGAGGTCTTATTCCATCCTGCGAAATCAAGAGAATTTGCGTGAAAACTTGGTATTTTGAAAGTCCAATTCGCTTTAACACCGTCCAAGTCAATTCACCCCTTTCGATGATGAAGTTGCTATCCTTCATCCTACCTACCTGTAGCAACAGGAATAGACTTTAAGGATAGAAACCCCGGATGGAATGAACTTAGTTGGTGTCCAGAAAGATGAACCAAGAGGAGAATGAGCTCAAAACGTGGACTCACCAATATGAGGTAGCAGACTGGTGAATGGAAGGAAAGGCATGATCACGCTGTCAACGATTAACAGTTTTATGCCAGTGTAGAATCTGTCCGTTGAATCTCGCTCTGTGTGGTGCCGATGAACGTCTTGATTTTGCTGACCTGAACGGTGTAGAATTAGCCTCAGTCGTAGGCACGCCTCAGTCAGTTGTTGGATGTAGGACAAGAATAGTGTCGGATTCGTTTCAAGTAGTCCGGTATGTGCTAGCAAAATAAAGCGATGTATTCGGACAGAGAGGGTATCGGACAAAGTGCGAAACAACGAACACACTATCAATGGCCCACTGGCTCACATCTGCAAATACATTGCTCCCTGTGCTGTGCTAAACGGTGGAGGCTGAGATGTTGCTTCATCGTCTGTGGAGAGGTAAGTCGTTTGGACATTTTGTCGCAACCAATCAACAACACTGTCTCATCGAAAGTGGGGGAGCTATAAGTGTAAACGCCACTAACCCACCGCGCTTCCGCTATCATAAGTTTCAAAAAATCGTAGAAACTATACTCTATCTATCGGCAACTTGACCCCTTGCGTTCAGTTTATTGAGTGGCGTTTCTGGTGTAGAACCATCACTGCCATAGCACCAAGGTATCGGTTACTCAAACGAATACAAAGCAATCGGTGTCCAGATGACGGTGTATCATGCGGCTCGCTGGTGACAGCGCCTGCAAGTTCACTGACTACCCCTGCAGATGAGTGGGCGCATGCCGGTTGTATCGTAATGAGAAGTATGACACGGTTTTGGAGAGAAAGCGTTATCAAACCCCGCGCCACCGAAGACAAAAGATGTTTCCAAGGCCACCCATTTCTTCAGCGGACTGCTGTGCCAAAAGCACTTCAGGTCCTTAATTCTTTAATCGATTCCGTGATATCGCGCAACCTGTTTAGCCCCTGTTAAGCGAGCATAAGGCGCACTAACAAGGTCAGGTTAACGCATCATAACATGAGATAGCAAGCGACGGCAACATCCATGCTATTGTGTGTTAATACCGATGAGAACTTCTGCTTCTTTTATTATCCCGAGTGCACTATGTGATCAGGACCACGACAATGAGCTTGTCGACATGCTCTGATCGGCTCACCAAGCTACTCAGTGTTGACTTAACCCAGGTAAAAGGTGCTGTAATCTGAAGAATACAATAACCAGTTCAAAATTTGACTATTGCGCACACTGGCCTTAAAGCCGGGTCGCAAAATGTCTATGCCGCGAGAGAAAATAGGACCCACTTTTATGCGTTTTCCGCACGCCGGTTTTTTTGTCATTTTCAATGTTTGAATATGAATCAATGCAAATTTGCACTCAGCTCTTCCAGTTACTGCGCGGTTTCGGTCCATGTCTTCGAGCGTGTTAAACCACTGGTACTCCTCATGTTGGAGTCCCCGACCAGGAAGACCTACAGGTCCCACGGCGATCAAACGTGAAGTCAGCGGTTTCATGTGCTGTCGCCATGTGGAATAATGACCACCACGCGGTCGCCTTCAGTCCAATTCTGAACGGGCGAAAAGAGCACGGCGCGAAAACCGCCCAGGCGCCAAGCGTAGGACGTGATCGAGTCATGTCAACTACACACAACAAAATCAGCTTGTTGAAGGAATGCTCGCATTGCCCAGGACGCGAGGTCTAACGTCATCACTGTGAAGTCGGTGTTGCCACCACACACGAGGGATCCTCCAAAAAAACAACTGCTGTCTAAAGCGTAAAGACGGCGCGTATTCTCCACGCGAATTGGCCGGGACTCGCTTCCACACTACAACACCGAGGCACTGTAAACGCGGTCATTTATCGAAGTGGATAGTTCACGATGACGCCACAAGTGCTTCAGATTGATACATAATGATCAGGCTTTAGCGATGCGAATAGAAACATCCCTGCTGATATTGCCGCCAGAAGAAACAGCTTGCAAGGTGGACGAAACTAGCTACCCGTTTAAGTTGTGCATCTTGTAAAGTGAGCACCGGAGGGGGTGTGGGCCAATCTTGAAGCAACCCTATAGATTTCGAGGGGGCGAAGCTCTTGCTATACCTAGATGCTCCAACCGCCAAACGATTCAGAATGAGCTGGGACGAATGCTTTAAGACTCAGAATGAGTTGCATGAACTGTGGATCATCACCAAGTAAGGCGATATCTTCAACATAAACTAAGTTGGTGGCGCGCTCAGTCGGTAGGAGCTCTAAACTAAATTTTTAAACCTAGGCGTCTCGAAAGGGCGTCTTTGATTGTGAAGTTGATGAGGAACGGGGACGTAGGTCAGCCCTGTCACACACCACTATTGACAGGGAAGGGCGAAGAAAGCTTGATGTAGACCCTCAATCTGCGGGAGACTTCTAAGTCGTGCTATCTTGATAGGAGAAGAAACTCCTTTCTTGTTAGTTGTTACTGTATTTGCTATTTGGGTTGTCATACTATGAAGTGGCCACTATAAGACATCGCGCACAGCAGAAGGTAACGGGTCGGCAAAGCATTTTGTAGCGAAAAATTGAGGACGTTTACCAGAATTTAAGGACAAAATCAGCATAATCTTTGTACAATTCAGGTACCTATTTCGCTACGGGCTCCGCACTTCAGGCCCCATCACATAGTTGTGTGATGTTGACGAAATCAAACTATGCGAATAAATGCGACACCAACTTGGCACACATGTGCGCTGGTCACGGTTCCCGCCTCCACGCAAGTGAAAATTAACAATGTTGACCCAGGCGTCGGCTGTCGCGCGTTAGAAAGAAAGAGGCAAACACGAAGACGATCAGTTTAAACTATTGCTAACGATACTCTTTCGTTCTTCGCACGTATATACTGTGTTCACGTAAGTTTCGTTGATGCCTTAACCCTCTGAGCCGCATCACAATCGATGCATCATTCAGGTGCTAATACACAGAAAGTAATATTACGTCAGTCGGAAACAGTAATATTTCTGGCCCTGATCGTACTCAGAAAAGCATATGTTGAAGAGCAACAAGAACAGGTAAACATTTACCTCGTTGTTGAAAGCAGTGTGGTCACGTATCCGTCGGAGAACCTGAGTCGCATCAAAGTTGCCGTTGGTGTCCATGTAAAGCACGCAAGCCTTGGAATCGCTCGCCAGCAAACTTGCACACAGCGAAAGGCATAGCTTTTGGCGAATAGAGGAGAAATAAGACATCAGTTTTTATCGGGATGAACAACACAGCAGACCTGATCAAGCTACATAGCTGAACAAAACCTTTTCTCTTAATACACGCAGGCCTCAATAAGTTAGCAACAAATTGCTTAAACGCGTGTGCGAATGGAAGACAAGTGGATAACGCCGCGCATAATAGAAGTAGATATCAAATGGTCTAGTCGGCGCGCAGTACCTGCGACATAGTTCAAACACTTATGCAGCATACCAGTGTGATCTATACAGCCCACTCTGACCAAAACTCTGCTCTTCTGGAGATTCATGTCCCGCGTTAAGATGAATGAAAATGGGTGTCAGTGGCCACCCTACAATCGATGTTAAGCCGATAGTCCCGTAGTGGGCACAAACGCTGTCCACCCTAAGTATCGACACGGTACTCAATTCGATCCAATTACTGGGACGATCTTTTCCCTCCATATCTGTTCCCACAAGTAGGTCAAAGCCTTTCGAAAGGGCCAGTCACCACTAAATAGTGAGGAAACGGGCGAATCCCAAACAACAGCAGAGTCCTGTAATAATATTCCGAACTTCAGATTCTGTTGAAGCATCCAAAACGAATTAGCCATGTGTCGGCTGTGTCATCAGACTAAGAATTGACTTATACACAGGAGGTAAATTAAACTGGTCGTAAAAAGCATTCCGCTCAGTCAGCTATGTAGTGTTACTGGTTTTGTATTGGAGCACCTGTGTTGTTACTGGCTATCCCATTAAGGCAAGAGTTCCTTGGCACACAAAAGTGGATCGGCTTCGAGTTTGCGAAGTTACACGCTGCTCCTGCCTCCTCGATTTTCTGAGTCATCTCAGTCCACCAGTCAGCCTTAAGCACTCGGAAAGGCTGAAGGAAAATTGGCAGCAAAACAATATATAAGCAGAACCAAGGAGCTTGCCCAAAGCGAGGAGTAATCAAGAAAGCTTATGAAGAAATAATTTGCATGCGTTGGAAAGATGCTATGTTGCATAGAGTACGGCGTTGAAATCGTGCTTATTCTGAGTGTTCGTTAACGACCTCGTGCGCGTCATCATCCCAAATTTCTTGCTTTTACACCATGCAGTCAAGAGGATCCACGAGACCGTAATAGTGTAGATATTTACCCCAGTTTAACGCGGATAAATGCAGATGGTCCATAAACGTCGCCAGACAAATAGCGTGCATAAGCTTAAAGAACACATCTAGCAGTATTCTAGGAGCGAAATCATATACTTATTAAGAATAAAATCAACTTAGCTTGGCAAAGCTCAGCGAACAGTTCGTCTAACAGAGCTACCCACATTTACTCCTCTATCAACACTATTTGTGCGGACGCTGCTGAGAATTGACTTTCGATATTCCTTTGAGCAGTATGGTAGTTCGCTCCCGGCTTTATTTTGAGTTGACTCGGCAGTTCTAATTGTTGCCCAAGGTCCCAAAGAGGGTCCATTGCCTACATTACTCCTGATTTGCCATCGCAACAAGGTAGCTACGTTACAGTCATAAATAACAACAAGAAATCAGCCATTTGAACAGATGCCTCGTTGCAGTACAACCACAATGCCCTACGAACGAAGAATAATAGGAGGGGGAGACCTAGCGCAAAGCCTTAAGTGAACATTCAGGGTCAGCGCACCTACGCATTGTCGATAACACCGCCGCAAACAGCTGACTATCGTGCAAATATAAGGCGACGTCGGAGAGATAGTTTCCTTGCGGCTTTCACTGCCCCACATCGTAGCCAGACTTTACCACGCGGATAACGCAGCATCAGACACACTTTACATAGGCAGTCCGACTAAGAGACGACATCAAACGCGGCCCTGTGAGCCATGCCCTCTGACGTCTCGAGCCAAACACAAGGTGGGTCGCATAGACTACAGCCTGGAAGGCGAGACGGAATAATGGCACCCAGTTTGATCGGCAATGACTTCATTTGCCGCCGCCAAGTTAACTTACCCACCTCGAACCTTATGCCTCTTTACATCTGGCAAACAAAACAAGGCCCTCCTCAGTAAGCAATGACCAGAAATACATAGCATGTATCCAAGCCAACGCAATTCATTCAGCGCTATCTGTTGTTCTAAGGGACTGGCTTGATTATCACTGCTCAACACGCCTACGCACATCGTTGAGAACACGCTGGTGCAACCCAACATCAGCAGTGCTTCGCAGATAACGATTATCACAGACTTGAAAACGCCACTGGCACTCGGCTCGAAGGGGCCGTCTCACTAACATAGAGTAGGACGGTTTTAACTGTGGTTTTGTAAATACGTCTTTCAGACCGAAGGAAACCTCTTCCTGACGCCACTGATGTCATAAACTTAAGATAGTTTTAACTTTTGCAACACGTGGGCTGATTTCAGTGCTTATGCGCCCATTTTTGTTGATGCAGCTACCAAGGTAAGTGACTTGATCAATTACCTCGAGTTCCTCGCTATCAAGGATCAAGGGTTCACAAATGGCTGTTGGTCCAGCAACATCACTTTGCATTTTGAAGGTACGAAGCGCGATGAGTTTGTGTGTCTCATTGACCCATTGAGCTATACTGGGTGGTGCGTTTTTGCACCTTCAGAGCCACTCATACCAGATTGGTCAGTGGTTAGAGGCCAGACAAACTCAGTCTCCTGGCCCTCCAGGTTGGGGGGTTGAGAGAAGATGACTGCTTACTCCAAAAAACGGGCTGTCTGTAGTCCAGTGTCAAACTTCCGCTGCCTCGCGTTAAGGTTTTTGGACCAAAGGCTTTGGTTAAGAACCCGAATCGTTCTCCTGTCTAGGCCTGGGCAACCTGACAGTATTCTGCCCACGCAATACAATGAACCTTTCCTACAACAATTTCTTGACGCTCTGGCCGTCGCAGAGGATAATCAATGGCACCCTATCTTCTGCATCGAGCACGGTGGATATGGGTTTGGATACTGCTGTTCAGGCCTTCCCGTCTTCTTACACCCCTTCTTGCGCTTTTTCATCCTTATCGTCCCGCTCTAACTTTACTTATATCCCCCCATTTTCAATCCCCCAATTCTTGGCCGTCCCCCTGCTTACTTCAATAGTCGCTTGTCTTCTAGTTCCAAATCACACACAGTCGCAGGACATCGCTTCAGTCCAGTCGACAAGTCCATGATCAACCAAGTGGACAATGTCGGTTCGTCCGTTTCCCTTTGGAATCCGCGCGCCTCGCTAAGACTGGCATGCCTCAACGTGCGCACTTTGCTACAGATTGGCCAACAGGCAGCACTTGCCCGCACACTAGAGATCCCATGGATCCATATTTGCTGTTTATCAGAAACCCGCCTGCAAGGTTCTAGCTCTGTGCTTACCCTGAGATCCCCCACATGCGACACTGGCGGCACATTCTCATTGCGCCTGTTTGGCGATGATGCAGCTTCAAATGCCGATCAAGCTGGCGTCGGCATTGTTTTGAGTCCCCGAGCTGAAGCTACCCTGATCGATTGGATCCCAGTCAACAGTCAGATGTGCGCCGTTAGATTAGTCGATTCGTTTCATGCTACGAAGTCGCGCGGGAACAAACGGTGCATGTTTGTCATTGCGGCCTACGCCCCTACAAGCTGTAGCACTGATTACTATCAGCAACTTCACGAGCTCCTTCGTTACAGAAGAAGCATGGATACTGTGGTGTTGGTTTGCGATCTAAACGTCTAAGTCGGAAAATTGTCCTCTGATGAGCTTCATCTGGGCGGCCAACATCGTGTATGCTCCCGTAATGAGAACGGTGAGCAATTGCTACAGCTGTGTGAAGATGCTCGCCTCTTTCTCGCGAGCACAAACTTTCGACACAGCACCCGCAGAAGCCTGACTTGGTGCCCACCAGCTTCGCACCAGCCATGGACGCAAATCGATCGTATCGCGATCAGTTACCGCTGGAGAGGATGTGTGCAAAACTGTCGCTCGATTTAGAGCACGTGCGTGGACTCTAACCACACACTTGTCTGTGCGGACCTCCGAGTGCGTTTCGGTGGACGTCCGCTACCTCGACGTGAACGGATTGCCACCAGCTAGCTGGCGAAGCCAGGTGTTCTGAATGTGTACCAAAGTGCGCTGACAACCGGGCTGATTGAACACCGTCGGTGATCACTGGTCGCATATTCGTTAAATGTTACTATCAGCAGGCACGTGCATGTGGCAAATCAAATTGCCAAACTGGACATTGGGTCTCTACACAGTCTCTGGAACTTATAGTTGCTCGCCGACGTATTCCGGCTGGAAGCGAATACAATGAGGCTCGCAAAAATCTCAGGGCAAAACTACGTGCTAGCTTGAAGAAAGACCGCGAAGCCTGGTGGTCTCATCGTGCCTCGGAGATGGAAACAACCGTTACCGTTGGTAATCATCGTAAGTTATTCCGTCTGATACAGGAAACAGGTACCAGGAGACCTGCTGTTAGCGAAACCATACGCGACGAGAGTGGGCAACCGATTTACAGCCTGTCAAAGCGCTTGGAGCGTTGGGCTGAACACTTTGCAAGGCAATTTAACCAATCGGAGTTATCGCTTTCTTCTTCGGGCATTGAGCGCCCTTCTCCCTGGGCTGTCTCCTTGGATCCGCCCTCACGCGCAGAAGTCGAACTTGAGATCACGCTGTTGAAACTGCATAAGGCCGCAGGGTCAGACAGGATTCCCCAACCCTATTCTAATTCGGGGGACCTGCTCTAGTAGATGATTTATAAATGGAACTTTAGGAGCAGGAGGCGGTCCCGACAGACTGGAGCCCCTCCGTCATTGTCCCAATTTTCAAGGGGGGCTCCCGTTTGGGATGCGGCAATCATAGAGGGATCAGTCTGATTTCAATTGCCTCTAAATTACTTGAGTCTGTCATTCACCACAGACTGACTAGCACTCGTGAAAGTCAGACTCTTGAAAGGCAAACAGGATTTCGTCGAGGTCGGTGCCGCATCGAGCACATCTTCACCTTGCGTCAATTGTTGGAGCACCGCCATGTTTATTGGCGACCCACCGTTGTCGTGTTTCTTGACATAAAAAGTGCCTTCGACTCGGTCGATCGATGTGCCCTTTGGGACTGTCTGCTGAAGAAAGGTGTGCTTGATAAACACGTAAACATTATCAAAGCGCAGTACGCGCATAGTTAGGGTCTATGGCAGACTGTCGCTATTTTTCGGTATCACCAGCGGTGTGAGACAAGGTTGCCCGCTGTCACCTTTCGTCTTCAATTTCGCTACTGATGAAGTCATGGAAACAGCGTTCGCTGGACACTACCTAGAAAGTGCGGAGCTACTTCCTGATGAATGACTTCTTGACTTGGAATACGCGGACGATATTGTCCTTATCTGTGACAGCTCCCAAACATGTCAAGCATCACTGGACCAATTAGCACTGGCTATCAATGGTTTCGGGCTATGGTTTGCTCCATCGAACTACAAAGTACTTTCCAAGATTGGCAGGGACCCACCCCTGCGCCAACGCTTTGTGATGATCAGCTAGAAGTCGTCCAGGATCTCAAGTACCTGGGCAGCTATATTAGCGCCGGTGGGATCGAACATGAGGTTACGAACCGTATAACAAAAACTCGAGTTGCTTTTGCTACCTGCGGCGCATACGCGACATTACTCTCACCCTGAAAGGCAGTTTAAAACGCAGTCGTCCGTTCAACCATCCTGTACAGTTGTGAAACCTGGCCCATCAGGCCGAGAGACATAAAGAGGCTCGCCATATTCGATCATCGCTGCCTTCGTAGCTTACCTCAAGTCTGGTGGGAGCACCACATGAGCAATGTGCGTTTTCGGCGTCGTGTATTTGGTGCAGGAAGAGCGAGTGAACCGCTCAGCACCATTATATCATGCACCAGGCTCCGATGGCTGGGCCACGGGTTGCGCATGCCAGCACACCGACTTCCGCGACGTACATTGTTTGCGCGTTGTGGGTGCGGTTGGTAGAGGAGAGGAGGCCAAGCGATGACTTGGTCGAGAGAAATGAAATCCCTTACTTCGAAGTTGGCGTCGGTTGGTGCATCCCGACTGCATGGCTAAGGTCCTAAGGAGGATGAACATCTTTGGTTGGACACACTTGCTGATAATGGCTAGGAGTCGACCCCAGTGGCGTTTGTGTTGTGCGCTCCTTTGTCCATTCCCCTCCCGCTTAGTCTCCTTCTCCAATCACGATCTCATTCGCTAGGAATAATATAACTTTTTACAGCACGATAGCCGGCTGTTAACTCTCCGGAACAATGTCCATCCGTTATTGGGGACTCAACCGACGTGCCCCTGTTGTATTATTTTTCTTCTTGTCTTTAGTATTGCAGCACAATAGCTGGGGTGTTTTCCACCTGCAGCTAACGTGTATAATGATGATGATGATGGGCGCATGCAAAATGGTGGAACTACTCGAGAAGGGTTATCCAAATTTGACTGGGCCTCCCCAACATCGCTAAACAGCAAGACAATATCGTCCACATCCTTCGGCGAGGTTTTAACAGCATCAAACCGGCCGGTGCAATGTCACCGGACAGCAATTGTGAATTGTAATGCCACTAAATTGTTGGTTCCATTGAACTTGAAAAAGACAGAAAGCACGACTAGTGCATAGACAAATGGTCCGTCCACAAGCGCTTGTAGCAACTCCAGTTCCCACGGCGGTTCTGTGGCAATTAACGTCAGTTCTGTAGGTGCTGAGGTCACACTCCGCCGTCTAAGTATGTGGTTTAAGAAAAGAAATCATCCCTAGCCACACTGCATGAATGGGGATTAGCTAATGCAGAAATTTGTCCAACAGAAGTGATGATTGGCTAAGTGCGCTAACCTATTGTTTATCTCCCGAATGTAATAGTTCGAATAAATAGTGAATCAACCCAGTTCTGTAGTAGTAACCAGGAATGTGAATGTTTGAAGCGCATATAGAGACATGCATTCTACCACCTGTGCTTGAGGGGGATCTGGGTGGGATTTTAAAACAGCCCCTTACAAGCGATCTACGTCAGCAAATTAAACTACCCATATGAATCATACAAGTTTGCACGCAACGCGGTGTGTGAGTAGCGCCTTTCCACAACAGTTTACGTTCGCATTTGCTGCTACCTTGGTTGTGAGATGCTTGATATGCATTTACTTGAAGCCAAATAAGCCGTACGGCACGGAAGGAAAGTGGTCACCGATCAATGCTTAGTGTGAGATGAATATTCAACATGTTCGTTTTAGTTCAGTGGGCAGCATGAATCGATGTCTGAAGTCCACCGTAGAGACTAGTCTGAATGTGGAAACCGAGATTCACTATATTACTTATTGCAAACCACTAGCACCCAGTGCAGTGACACATTCACCCACTTAAACCAGTCACGCAATCGTGAACCCGAGTCCATAATCCCTAGTAAACACGCAATCCCTAATCACAGTTGATCATTGGCTTTTTGTAGCTTAGTGAAAACACCTGGAGTAAAATAAACAAGTGTACTGACGTGTTAGAGCAAAATGAGTTTACGCAATAATTGGACCTCCTAGAGAACAAAGGGTGCTGAGTTTGGAAAAAAAGAAAAACGCTTTACGGTTTTCCATGAAGAATTTATCGTGAATCCAAAGTTAATACGAGGAGGCAATGCCATCAGGTATTTGGAGGCAGGCACTTAGACCCCTTCTAACTTTCTCTTTGATCTGCGTAGTTTTCGCCTCATGCCATAAGCACAACGTTCACCCGTATTCATATTCCTAGCAATCTGGACTGCGGTTTTTTCTCTCTTGTAATACCACACTGCGCAATCGAGATGTCTGCTGCATCCGCATTACGCTGATCCGATTGATAGTAACAAATCCTATCTGTAGGCTTTCTGCGCAACCAGTTACGAAGTTCAATAGAATGTACACCAATTCCGGCCTTAGAAAGTTGGCAAATGTAAGTGACATCATATGGAGCTGAGAGCAAACCAGCCCTAAGCGCAACTGCTGAAGACCGGCTAAGTTCAGTCGATCAAGGGTTGTGATAACAAGACTGGATCATGCGGCATGTGCTTGACACAAATCGGTGGAAGCAACAAAGGTAGTCCAGACGGCGACTATCCCGCAGCCGAAAGCGCTAGAACAGTGACAGTCAATGTATCCGTCGCTGGGGTGTGTACAACCGCGGTAGCAGCACTACTAAAAGCGAATGAAGGCACAGTATAAGTTCATTTCAGGGCAGTAGCTGATCAACTGTGTTCCAGGTGACAAATGATGACGGGTGCGATTGCTTTGATTCGAATCACCATATCAGTAATAACCAAAATGATGAAGAGACAAAAAGCTAAACGCGAAGAGAAAAGACACAAGGTTTACAGCTGTTGGACGAAAGAGTTGAGTTGTACTTAAGGGAACAAATACATCAACGCCAGGTACAGCGGAAGCAGAAAGCACTGGTGTGACTGATTCTGAGGCCATTAGGGCGCTGCAACCATAAACAATGATCTACAGAGACGGACGCCAAACAGACGAAGAAGATGGGTCAGCTGGTAAATGCTACGCATAGCCCAGCGCCGTACCAGAGAGGTGATGGCTAAACATCAACATTCGCATTTTATCATTCGATGTTCCCACGTGATTTGAGCAGTAAGCAAATACGAGGAGCCACCTGGCGCCACCCATGTACAGTGATCATGCCTATGATGCATGCGGTGACACTACAATGAAGTAAGACGGACTATTGTCCCATACCTGACGGCAGCGAAAATGATTAATGGTCCTCTGAATTAGCATCCGGGCCAAAATGAAAGAGGACGTGGGCAGTGGCCATATTCATTCTAGCACATGCAACCGGACTGGAAAGTGATGAGCGAACAAACTGGAGTAGCATAGAACAAGTGAAAAATAAGTGGAATATGGAAGGCACATCCTATAATGCATGTAGCTGAATTAAAGCAGTAGGATCTAAACCGTTCAACTCTGTCTAACATGGTACAGATTGCAAGTCCTTATAGTGCCGGATGACATGTGGACGAATGAAAGATAGCAAAGTTAGCTATCAGTCGGTTCGCAACCGGGACGGTCTATCATTTTCCAGTCAGATGAATTTTCAGAGATTGTTAACACGATCCTGATGAAGTCTGCAACCAGCTATCGCGCGTAGCTTTCGGAGCATCCTCCACAAGGAACAAAGCCAATTTGACCAATTGAGTTTGGACGAGTAAGTGAATAAAAGAACACCGACCTGAGTCTTGCCCACTGCAGAATCTCCGATAAGCTCGGTCAATTCGGAGGTGCGTATTCCGCCTCCAAGGAGTTCATCCAATCTGAGAATCGGCACAAATAGACGTAACATAGTAGAAACACCAGCGATGTATGGTTGGTGAGGAAATGAAGTTCAGAACAATAACTCAGGCGGTGTAAGTGCATAATGTGATCTATTGGTTTGATTTTAGTCAAGTGTGGGGTTATTGGAATTAAAAATGCAGCCCAACGCTAATGGGGTTAGAAAAAGCAGCTATGTGCGCTTGCACACGCATCAAAGAGGTGGTATGCGGACTAGTGTGCAAGAAGCGAGGGGGACAGGAGGTAAAATGATGGAGAACTTAGCCTACCACATACCATCTTGGCGTTGATCGATAAAGCAAGTGCGTAAACACAGTTGCTTGACACTGAACCTCCAGTAAACGGATGACCCGAACACGATGTACAATACTACACGATAGCTGAGGATAAGAAACACCTCAGTTAATGTGCCGCAATAAAGAAAGTAAAATACCAAAAATATTACACTACAATGAATTCAAAAAGCAAGCAATGCAGTGTTAAACATTATTTTATGCACATGTGATCGTAATCAGACGGGGAATCCAACGGGGAGGGGTGGACAAAGAAACTCTCAACATAAACGCCGTAGGGGTCGGCTCTTCGCCATATCAGCAAGTGTGTCTTACCGAACGAGTTTATCGTCTTCAGGACCCCAGCCAGGAAGTCGCGATGCACCAAGCGAGGCCAGCTTCGAAGTGAGGGTCTTCATTTCTCTAGATCAATGCATCGTTCGACCTCCCCTCCTCTTCCAGCCGCACCCCCGGCGCGCAAACAACGCACTTCGCGGGAGTCGGTGTGCAGGTATGTGCAACACGCTGCCTATGCACACGAGTTAGCAGAAGCACGACCCCCTCTAGAGTATGCTAAAACGTAGTTGGTGATACAAGCTAGCAGAGGCAGAGTGGCACCTGGAATTTGGCTTTTGAACTATTGTCGAACACAAAGAAGGGCCGCATCAATAGCGAACTATCACAAAACGGTACACGACATGGTGAGGTCCTTCTGTGATTAATAGATAGTGAACGCAACCCAGCATTTGTTATGCCGTCGGAGAGCCACTGAACTCTCCCAGTGTGGAGATTCACAGTGGCTTTTGTCACTGATATGAATAAATAACCAATCTGCTGTGCTGTTCTGAACATCATCCGTAGTAATGACAGGAAAGGGAGGACGTGACATTTTCAGGAATAGATGGATGGAGGCCTATTGAAACAACCCAAAAGGATGCTATACCCAGCCAGTTAAGATTATTATCTCGTGGATGATTGATTCATTTGGATAGTGGAGAATTACATTCACATGCAACATAAATCCTCTGCCCAGATTTGATGCATATTCGGGTATCGAGACACGGGGATATCAAATGAGACGTCGGAAAAGAACATGAGTGTAAGTTGGAAAAAAAAACAATAAGCATGTTGGCTCGTCGTGTGTTTCTTGGAACCTATCGCGCGCTTTCCACCCGATAGTGATGTTTTTTCGAGCCTACCGTGTTACAGTGTACGTCCAAACCCGTAGCCACAGTCGATAAACGTGTTCAAATTACGCGCTTATTGAATAGTTTGTAACTACTAGCGGTGCAAACCAGTTACTAATTCCTTGCACGGTCTAGCTTTTTATCTGTCAAGTAATGACACTATTGTAAGGTTTCGTTGAAGTCGGAATATTCTGCGACGCGTTCTCTGGAAAGAGCCACGATCTCTGACATAAAACACTTGAGCGTCACAACAAACCTGTACTACCATTGAACAAACTGCATCAGTCGGGATTAGCATTTAATGAAACACAGCAGCTAGTTCAAGTGGCTTGTCTGTGGTTTCTGTCAATACAGCCCCTCATACGTGCTGGAAACCGCAAGGTAATGGGATTCATCTTCTCGCATCACTTTCTAAATTCCTGAGTTACCAACACCCAGTTTCAAATTGGTGTCATTCTATGCAATGGAATGTCTCGACGATCATAATTTCGATGAATAGTTGTTGCATATGCTAACCACAAACCGCTTGTGGCAATAGCAAGCTGGCTGGCTTTCCGAACAACCTCCTTGTGGAGCCAGCTGGGTGGTTCGGCATTATCCCGTTCCAGCAAATGTTTCGGCGGCAGTGTTCCGGGACGTGGTTGGTTTTCGCCTGGCAAGCGTTCTCCCTACAAAAAGCCACATATACCCGTTTAACAACACTGTGACGTGGCGGATGTGACTCGCCACTAAATAAAGTCACTGCTCCTTGCCGCTCTCTGAGTGGCATTGTAATTCAAGGGTGTGTTAGGTCCCTGATCCTATGCGGTCCTAAAGGCGTATGAACCACTTGTTTGGTCATCGGCTCCCAACGGATTGCGATACCCTCATACCGCCTTGTACATTCGATCCTTGATCAAACGCTCGGGGTGGGGCCCCCTAACACAACCCTCTACTTCGGCCTGGGCAATCGGGCAGTACCTCACCCACTGACGAAACTTGGACTTATAACCACAACCATTCACACACTCTCTCGCTGCTACGATGCTATTCACTCATGTTACTATGCCGAATTCCCAAGCACACGCCACCATTTTACCTACCCTTATCCTGGATCACTCACGCCCATCTTTGCCTGATTCTTCTGCGGTGATCAACCCCCCTACACTGATGAACCTGTTCCCGTGACATCTGCCAACTCAACCACATAGTGCTTAACAGAGAGCTGTCAGCACCGAAGTCCCCCATCTTCGCTCCTGCAACACGGAACGCAGTTCAAACTTGCAGCCTCCAACGTACACACATTACTGCAGATCGTTTAGCAAGCTGGTGTTGCACGCACGCTAGAGACCCTTGGAATTGATATCTGCTGCCTAAATGAAACACGACTTCAGAACTCTAACTCGGTTTACCAGCTGGTGTCACCGCTCTACCTACGCAGCTGCTTCCATCTCCGCCTCTGGTGACGCTGAGTCTGCCGCATCTGGGCAAGCTGGTGTTGGAATCGCCCTCAGTGCTAGAGCCGAGATTGCTTGGATTCCGATCAATAGTCGCCTTTGTGCGGTGAGGCTCCATGGCTTTTGTAAAGTTAGCAGACGGCGAGTTGAAAAGCCTGCTCTCTTCGTCATGTCTGCCTACGCGCCCACTGACTTTAGCTCGGAGACCGTCAAAGACCAGTTCTACCAGAACCTTCATGAGCTGCTCCTAAGGGCTCCTAAAACAGACATCAATATTTAGGCAGGAGACTTCAACGCGCGGGTCGGTCGCCTGCTGCCACATAAGCGCCACCTCAGGGGACCGCATGGATATGATGATGCTCGTTCAGACAACGGAGAGAGACTGCTCAGTCCACGTGCTGATCATCAACTATTCCTCTCCAGCACCAGCTTCCGTCATCCTGGACGTCAGTACGCCACTTGGCGCCCCTCATCATCAACCCAGCGCTGGTCACAGATTGACCACATAATTATAAGTCACAGGTGGCGCGGCAGCGTACGTGACTGCCGATCATTTTGGTCAACATGCGTCGATACTGATCATGCACTAGTATGTGCGACCGTTTGTATGCGCTTCGGTGGTTCACCTAGGTCCAAACACACCCGACTGAATACCTACAAGTTGGAGGACCCAATAGTGAGGTAGGAGTATCAACAAAGGCCTCATGAAAATCTCGCTTTCTCTCACACTCTGGATGTTGAGAAACACTGGTCAAGTCTGCAAAAAGCCATGCTGGCGGCCAATTTGTCTAGCTGCGACCTCGCTCGCTCCACTCCCAAAAGCTGGATCTCGGGAAGATCCTTGGAATTGTTGGATCGCCGACGGGCGGTGCCCGCTGGCGCAGAGTACAATGAACACCGCCAGTCTGTTCCGCAACAGCTGAAAGCAAGCATTCGCTCTGATGGTGAATCCTAGTGGCCGAAATGAGCTGATGAGATGGAAGTCGGTGCATTAGCTGATAACTCCCGCCGTCTATTTTGCATCATCAAGGCCACCGACTGCAATTCCCACCCTATCAGCCAGACGATTGGCGAATAAAACAAAACAAAGATCACCAACCTTTACAGGCGCTTGGGTCGCTAGGCATAGCATTTCGCTCTTCAATTAAACCACCCAACACAGCCCCGTGTGACACCTCCAGTCCCAACGGATGATGCTTGGCCTGTCTCCAAAGCCCCCCCCCCTCCAAATGAAGCAGAGATCCGAAACGCAATCCAATCTTTGAAACGCAACTAGGCTCCGGGTCCCGACAGTCTACCACCGGCTCTATTCAAAGATGGCGGGAGTGTACTCGTCAGCGAAATCCTATCGCTGTTCACGAAAGTTTGGACTGAGAAGGTTCCGAACTCATGGAGAGAATCGGTCATTGTTCACAAGAAGGGCTCCCGCGACGATTGCTGCAACTACCGCGGAATCTCGTTGATCTGTATCGCATGGAAAATCTTCATGTCGGTCCTACTTCGCATACTTTTAACGACTAGAGGTGAGTTTTTCCAAAAAGAACAAGCCGGATTTCGTCCAGACCGCGGCTGCGTCGACCAAATTTTCACGCTTCGCCATCTTCTCCAACTTCGTCACCTCCACCGGCGGCCAACAATCGTAGTGTTCTTGGACATCCGAGCGGCATTTGATTCAGTAGACAGATGTGCGTTGTGGAACTGTTTACTGAAGGAAGGTGTGACCGACAAGTTTGTAACCATCCTGAAAGAACTTTACAGTCACACGTCGAGCAAAGTCAGGACTTACGGCACGCTCTCTTCTTCATTTGCTGGCTTGCCGAACAACCTCCTCGTGGTGCCAGCTGGGTGGTTCGGGATTTTCCCGTTCCAGCAAATGGTTCGGCGGCAGTGTTCCAGGACGTGGTGGGTTTTCGCCTGGCAAGCGTTCTCCCTATAGAAAGCCACATTTGTCCGTTTAACAACACTGTGACGTGGCGGACGTGACTCGCCACTAAATAAAGTCACTGCCCCTTGCTTCATCCTGGCGAAGCATTGTATTCCAGCAAGTTGATGCTGTAATTTCGGGGAGCATTGGGCCCCTGTTTGG